ACAAAATGATTAAAGGTATAGATATGCGGCAGATAAAAAATTGTCCATTCATTTAAGATATACATTCTTCAGAGAAACGTTCAGATTTCTGAGGTTGTGCATTTTCTATAAGCAACAGGTGTGCTTTTCTGATAGCTTATGAAATATGGCAACGGTTTTGAACAACCGACAATCACAAGATGCGGAAGTAGTTCAGCTGCAGATCAGCCGACTGCTTGAAGAGATTACCATTCACTGTTCTTGATCATCATTATCGACTGACGGTTTCTCACTCAGAAATATTTACATGCTTATGATAGCTGAAGTGATGACCTTCTCGAGAATCATTAAAAAGTACATCTCACTGATCAAATCTGTGCTTATTAATGCCCCAAAGTGATTTATCATTAAACATGTGACAATATCTTATCGCTCTCTGCAGATCAATAACCTAGCGATTCCGTTACATGAGTAAGAATATCCAGAATTATTCATGAACAACGAATAACTTTATTTGCGGACGACGTAGCATTATTATTTTGGTAATGTTGAACGGAATGATTCCAACCAATTAAATACACATGTAAATATGTACCAATGAACTGAACCAATACCAAAACCACAGAAGTGTGTACAGCAAAACATAATTCATTATGTGATACAGTGCAACGCGATTACGATGCAAAATTAGCGATGTGACGACGAACTGAGCACTGTCAATCACAAGAGTGTTCCTCGTTTACTCGCATTTCGTCGCTTCTCAGCATCGATCAGCTCTTCAGCGACTCGATTCTTACTCATGCCTTTTCGTTTCATTTGATATTCAATCATGCGTGCGTTCAGCGTATACGATTCGGCAATTTCGCGCTGTAATTGATCATATCATATCGAAATAGTTTAGTAAACTTGTCATTTAATAGTTTAGTAAACTTCATTACTCTTATATTAGGCACAGCACATTAAACTCTATTATATAACATCATGTACTAGCAATAACGAAGGGTCATTTGGAGTAATACGTTCTACTGATAAAACAAATATAAAAACCAACCGCTTCGAGTTCATCTTCAGCCTCCTCGACTGTTGAAACAGTCACCGAACCAACTTTGCCTTGATTCTTAACGTGTTTCGTCATTATCACCTGAAATTTGAAGCATAAAATAATGAACGACCAATTTAAAATTGACAATGTCGAGAACCATTTTTGCGTTACGAAAGGAATATAATTGTGCCAGGTCTTACTTGCACGACTGAAGAAGTCCATTTCAAAATCGATGAAACTTGAATAAATATCTAATAAAATCAAAACATCATTATATAATTTCAAAAAGACCAATGATATGAAAACATATCACTTATTTTAAGTCGACAAAAATTAGTGCAAAAATTTAGTTCAGTAATAAAAATAAACAAAAAATTTAAAATAATCGACGTAACCTTTTTAACGTGCTGCTCTTCATTTGCCAATTTCAGGCCACCAACTTGCTGTGCTGATAAGATAGCATCATCAAATATAAAAACAAATTTCAAATTAAATGGGTGTTGATAGAACAATGGTATGCCACATTTCCGACAATTTTTTCGGTATTGTTGTTCCAAGCCTTCCGGTCTGAAAACTTGAACGAACATTTCAAACGTTGCAGTTTTAATTTTTCAGAAATTGCGGATTATAATACAAAAAAGCGCTTCTTTCAATGCCACGATCACATTCATAAACTGATCAACAGAGAAGTATTAGTAGTACGTAATTATAAGACAATACATCTTACTGTTAACATATCCCTAACGTAAAAAACTGATGGGTTTAAGCTCAAAATTGACTCAGACAGTGGCACATAAATCACTAATTCTTTCTTGTTTTTGATACTGAGGCTTAATTCTGCACAACTTTCATCAACAGTATGTTTAAAAGAGACCTTCGAACGTAAACAGTATCACCGTTATCACAAAAAGTTTTTGCGACGGTTCGTTGCGGATCGATCACTCGAGCGCGATCGCGTTTACGTAAGGGCATTCGTGCAATCAGCGTATCACTTATCATTGCCATCTACAATTCATCATATTTACGCCTTGTCCAAACAAACTACTATCAACTCAATGACATTATCAATTTACAATTCTTCAAAATGAATTGATGCTTATTTTATTAAATAGTAATATAAGCATTCAACGTTAAAGATTTATTCAAAATGACACCTGTCCGCAATGACAGTAGTAGGTATAAAGGGGTTTAACGAAATGCTCTTCGCGATCTTGTTCGTCCACGATTTTACCTTCACCTCGGAACCGATCATCTTCAACATGCTCCACTTCGTGTGGATCACCCTCAATCATCGAAGCCATTCCTTAATTCGACTACATTTAAACGTTGCATCTCCATACACACTTCAAAGCGTCGTAAACTGTCAACGTTACGATGTTAATGCTTAGCAACTCGCAAATATGACATAACCGGAAAACAACCGCACTGTTCAAAAGACACTGACTGCATACCCTCAAAGCTCAAACACACTGCTTGAATGACAAGTCAAGATGTGTAATGGGGAACCTCCATGAAACTTTATGCCGTTTGGTGATCAGTATGAATCACTGAATATGACGAAGAACGCAGAGTGAAGTGCATTTCATTTCATTATCACAGATAAACGGCTCATATCGATCTGCTGTAGTGATCGAAAGATTCTTTGAATAAGGTGATATTTTAACCAATGTAATACAACAATGGGAAACAATAAAATATTCTTTGATTGCAAATTTTATTCAAGTAAAAGCTCGAAATCAAAAAAAGAATTTCAAACAAAAAAGCGACAGACTGAAAACAATAATAATAACAAAAACAACGGTGACATATTATATTTCAATGTTTGAACTTATGATACAACGCTAATTTATGATAGAACGCTAAAAGTACGAAGCGAACAAATCATACGAATGTGAAGACATGCAAAAAACATTACACAACAACGTACTTCTCACAATCAGTAGAAAAACTATGAACATAAAAACTGACAATAATAAGGAAGTAAAAGAAAACAATTGAAATGTTCTTTTCAAATATAAATTATGAATATAAAATGTAGTGATCGTGTTAAATAGGCATCAATACGCAAATGACCACAAAAACCGATGCCAAATGATATGAATAAAAAATGCATATAAAACAAAATTTATTAACTGAAAAGACGACGGACTCACAAAATCGAGTGAACCTCTGAATATTTACATAAATTACTTTCTTCCTTCAGTTATGTTTTCTCATATTACTTCAGTAACAATAAGAATATTGACAACGATTACAATAATGATAAAAAACTGCAACAAGATAAAATTAATCATTATATTTCAACGACAACAGATGGGAATCAAAGAAGCTTCACTAAAAATGCAGAATGTTTTCGAAGTGCTTTGGAAGGTGATTGCCTCAGCTCACTTTTCAACACTTCCCTTCAAAATGTAGCAATTTCACAATGATTACGAACGCGTTCGCATAATTAAGCTTTTTAATTGGGGATACTTTATTTAACAACTTTCGATCAACTAATTATTTCACTATCGACCAGAGTCATTGTTCGGGCAATATTCGAACTGGGAAAGTCTACTCCATTACCTGCTATTTCAAACAATAACGAAAATCACGTCAATTCTTCTTCAGACTCATCGAAATACCCGCTGAGAAATCAAACTTAACGGTGAATGATATCAGCATTCGTTAGAAACAGAAGAAGTTTGGAACATTTCTTTAAAAAATGGAATCAACGCAATTTACAATTAATGTGGAATCCAAATGACGCAAAATGACCGAACGAAATCGAACGGAGAGTTGTCAAAATGAAAGTAAACCTCAAAGGGTAAAAAATAACGACTGCAAATAAAAATAAATCAAAGGCTATTCAACATTGGATGTCTCAAGATGCGACTGTTTGAAGGTAGTCAGATCAAGCGTTAAAACGCCCGAAACAGTGCAGTTGGCTGGCTGTGGATAGATACCAACTAAAGCATCCGCCTTATTGTAGAATTCCTCCTTCAGTGAGATCACCACTAACTGCATATCCAAACGTGCACGTTCACTGATGAAACTTGCCACCTGAATGATCAATTTCAGTCATCCAAAACTCATTCATCATTCAAAACGATTCCGTCCAAAACATTTGAATCAATCACCTCACGCCACTCCGAATATCACAAAACGCATTTCATTCAACTTACAAAATTCATCGCTAAATCAAAATTACTCACACAAAATGAAACATTCAACATTCGAAAGAAAAAAGTATGGATAATGCAAAAATATAAAATTTTTTACAATCTGAAATAATGAACAGTGAATGATACCAAAAGCAACGAATAAATGAAAGCGTTACAAACCTTTCCAATATTCGTATTATCCAGCGCTGCATCAATTTCATCGAGTACAAAGAACGGTGACGGATTACGAGCGTGCATTGCGAACAAAAGCGCCAGAGCTGCCACCGTCTTCTCACCACCACTCAAATTATCCATCGGTCGGAATCGTTTACCCGGTGCTACGCAGTTATACGCGATACCCTCCAAGTACGGCTCCTCCATATTATCTGCACCCAAAAACGCTTGCGCACTTTCATTTCGACTCAGCTGCTGAAAACTCAACGTTTTACTTTTAAAGAGGTATTTACTGACCATCAAACACGATTACGCTTTCAAGTTCATGTCCCAATACAACTCGAATGGTAATACATCGCGGTGAAGTTTGTTGATAATAGTTCTTATTATATATACAATGAGTGTATATACTATTAGTGCATATACTATTATAAATACTATGACAGCTCGGAATAGCATGCTCTTTTCTGTCACAGATCGCTCAGTCCTTTATGTAACACTAGTTTTGGTATGATTCTATTTCGTACCGCGAAATCAACAAGACGATGGAAAATATTCAAAATCTATTCGATACAGTACCAATACCGAATTGTATCATTGGCGATGCTTTAAAGTACATACTGAAATTTCGAGACAGTTAAAGGAAGGACGAGTAGTACATTTATGTGCTAATAGTTTTCTGAATGAATTTTCAAAAAAAAGATGAAGTGTACAAAAAGATCAAAACGATTACCTTATATATTTCATCAATTTTTTGTGCCACTGGTTCAAAGCACTCTTGAAAACGCTTATATCTATCAGCTTTGACTTTTTCGAACAGCTGCCTTGCCTTTCTCGCCTTCTTTCGGGCCGTTTCACATTCCTCTGTTGTTTCAGCCTCTTTTTCTTTGACTATTTCCATTCTGAAAATTTCGCTTTTCTTAAGAACGCAAGGAACCGAGGACGCACAAAAACACAATCAAAATATCACCACAACTCAGTAAAACTTCCGAGAATACTGAAAACACAAACGAATCCATAACGCTGCTAGCAGTCAGAATTTTGATCCTTTTTGCTCAATTTCAGTTCACCTCTCACGTTTGATGAAACGGGAAATGTAATGACTATAACACTTCATCTGAATGGGCTCAAGTGAATAAATAAAACTGACGAATACAAAAATTACCGTTCGCTGGCCTTTAGATTCGGTGCACTGATTCGTGAAATAACCGCCTGTGTATCAGCCACTTCCTTCGCAAGTTTTTCAACAGCCTTTTTGACGTCTTCTTCATCATCCAGCTTCAAAATCATTTCATCGCCCAAATCCATCATATTTACATTTGAGTCATTAGAATGATAAATTTAGTTTATATTACACTTAAAACGATGAACGTTCAGAGAAGATGAGCACGACATTTTAGATACAGTTCATTTGTGTAAAACGGAATCTAAAACATCAATGAACCAAAAAAGAAATGATGCTCATTCGAAGAGAATGAAGAGCACTGATAACCTCTTTCAATGAATCCGGAAGCGATCTAAAGTTGATTTTGATTTTTGCTTCGCGATCCATTTGCTCTTGTGTCGGTTGACTCGGCTGCGTAGGGTCTTCACTACCTTAATGATGTGAAAATGGAATACTCATTCACCGACTGAACACCGAATACTAAAAGTCACAGCATTGCGATGGTAACATATCTAGCAAATGACATTCTCAAAATTTGATTCGAAAAGCAAATTTCAAATTTCGTTTGTAATGAAACAAATTTGTTTCAAATTTGGTCGACGAAATTATCGCGAGATTAGCCATTATCCATTCGCGACCATAACAATAACGACAAAAATAATAAAACTTGCTCAAAGGAAAGAATGCAATAAAAGTTACTTGTGGTGGGCATTTGTTCATCAGCGTCAACATCAGCTAACGATCCCTTTGTTAAAGGCACCTCAACGCCGTTGATTTTGCACGAATGCAGTATCGAGTGACGTTCGTTACGGCGTCGAACAATCGCTTGCTCCAATGCCAGCACCAACTTTTCTTCAGCACTCACCTGAGTTTACTCAATTTTTTCTTTTATATCGTAGTATATTACGGCTGTTATCTTTAATATCACCACTGTTAACAGCATTCTCAGCACAACAATAATCTCCGCTATTATTTTTATTACCGCAACCGTAATCACTATTATTATCGTCATTATCAACATCGCTTTCATTTGCGAGATTACTACTGCTTTCATTAGTTTGAGCGTTATATCCTACAAACAAACGCATTTTGCGACATATCACCAACAACTAATTGAAAATCTGACGTACGTCATACCTGTTGACGACACAACCAAATTAAAATAAATACCTCACGCGCTGCCTGTTGAGCGTTTTTCTTGACTACGTTAATCTCACATTCGCTATCTTCAACAGCTGCTTTCTTCGAGACAATCTCCATCTTCATTTGTTCGTATTCCGCTTCCAGATTTTTCAGTTTCTAAATATTTTCACCCTGAGCAAAACTGTCCGATTGAGCATTCACCGACCTAATCGCTGATATGTCAGAAATAAATCGCTCGGATTCGGTACGCTGATCATGATCAGCGATCTTTCAAATAGCTATATATCACTCTGCTCATCCAATAATGTTTTTAGCAACAACATTTATCGCTTTAATCACTAGTTCTCAAAAAATTTGTCTTCTTGAATTTCAAAAAAATTAAACCGTTCTGAAAACTGTTTACTCTCAACTCGTTGTATAAATAAGAATTGATCTTCAGAAATGTTCAATAATCCAACATCTTCGGTATTACATTATCTCAACCTTTAGCACCCTCTCGAATCCATTAAATAAAATATACAAGTAATTTCCAGATGGAACCTTATGCTCTCGTTCCTCCTTCCTTTTCAATTCATGCAAATCATTTGTTAGCCTCTTCACTTTGTCTGCTTCTTGTTTTTCACGTACTGAAACTCAGCTACATCAATACAATACAATGAGAATGGATCCATATAAGTGGGAATTACAGACTAATGAATGAAAAGAAGTGATGAGACGAGACCGTGAATGAACTCGATAAACGATCAAATTGCAATGAACAACAATTACTTGATTTATCGTCAGACTTTAAATAATCCATTTCATTTTTCAATCGATCCAATTCGTTATCAAACTTCTTCAGTTGTTCTTGCATTTCCTCATGAAAACGCATTTCGCGCTGTTCATATTTACTGAAATGTGCACAATTCATTATGAACTGGAAAATAAACTGAAACTTCTCATTTGCACGGCACTGCTAACAAATTTATTTCGGTTTGATAAACGAAGCAACAAAACATAACACTGATCATCTGAAAGTGGGAAGATCAGTAAATTAATCTCATCGAGTCTCTGAAAAATGAAACGAACCGAATATCTTTAATGTGGATTCGTTGACAAAAATCGGAAAAAACTTCGTCGGTTACACTGTCACGTTTCTTTTGCAATTTCTTGATTTGAATATCCCTCTCAGACATTCGCTGCTCGATTTCGTCAATTTTTGGCTGTAATGAAACGCGTCAACTTCACATTCAGTAATTCTCAACCGCATTCGAACATGTTATTACCACGACACTTTTACACTGAGAAATATTCATGCTTATCTGCAGTCTACGAGATCAACAGCGAAAAACGGATCAATAATATAAACTCTTGAATACCAAGAATTGTCTTCGTAACTCCATTTAGAAGTGTCTGATCAATGCAATTTAGAATGAAAATCGAAGCATAAAATGGTAACCTGAATGACCGCTAGTTCACCATTCAATGTCTCCAACTCTTGTTCAAGACGTTTCGCTGTTTGATTTTCAATTTTGAGACGTTCATTTCTGGTGTATTTGATTCTTTGTTCAAGTTGTACCAATTGATTTCGTTTCATTTCCACGTCTAATTCCTTTTTACGTGTGCGGTGTAACTGCTGATTTTCTTCGAGTAACACTGCACGGCGTTCCTTCAACTTCCTGAATATAACGTATCGTTACTGCCTTTAAAAAATATATCAGCAGCCATCAACGAATGAAATAGCAATTGCATTACTGAATACGAGTAAGCATTGCATGCTGTTCATCTCAATGGTTAATCTTCAATTTGGCAGATATGATAAGCAAATTGAGATTTTGTTAAGTTCATCAGTAGCAGTGTGTTTATGATGCATTGCAAGATACTTTCAAGCAATCGCAGCAGATGGAACACTTTACTGATTTCATCCAGATATTTGTTCCAATATGATCACAATTCGTATCAATAAACGTACCTCAATGCATTCTCGTCCCACTTCCTCGCTCGTACTTTCAGTTCTTGACCTCCGCCAGATATGACACCGTTCTGCTGGAAAAGAGTACCGTCCAAAGCAATCGCTTTGTAACGATCCGATGCACTTCCGTATGCCAAATACCTCAACTTGTCACATTACTATATAATGTCACTGATAAAGCTGATAAATCAAAATTTGAATTAAAATAAAGCAAATTATTAGTCATTAAGTAACACTGAATTCGAAAAACATTTTCGTAATGGTATATTTGAACATGGTCTCCCTTCATTTTGAAGTATATAACTGAACTGTCGTAATCGTGAAAAAGTTATCAAAACGAAGCATACTTCGCATCTTCAGCTGTCTCACAAACTAATGCATTACCACATGCAAACTGCAAAGCTTTTCTTGCCACTGGATTATTGCACTGAATCACATCAAACACCAATTTCACTCCGCGTGGATCTGTTAATTCCCTAAAACGAAACTGTTTTATATTTCACCCATAACTTACTGCAAAATTACCATGGCAATTGTTCATGGGTAGTAAGTAGGTACTTGAAAATTACTCTATATTTCATTAAGAAGATTATAAAATAAAAATGTTTTGGCGTTGATGTACAACATCAAGATATAATCGTGCCAAATGAAAATAAGTGATAACTGAAATATTCCTCAATGAAAAAGCAGCACACTTCGGAGTGTACCACTCAAATAATGCAAAAATGAAACGCTGAATTATCTTTCAACCTAAGCTTCTCGTTGATCGGATGAACGTCAAGAATCGAAAGCGGTAAAAAGGTTTCCGGTGGAAGTCGTTGCTCCTTCAGATAGACAATACTTTCCCGTGCAGTTTCGTCTGTGTCGCATACTATTGACATCATATTTTTCGCTAGAACCTGAAATAGCACTATTTGTGAGAGCAAATGAAAACGGAACAGAAACATTCATAATACAACTTGCGAAAACAAATAAGTTTTTGATTCGATAAACACGAATCGCGAAATTCGAACAGCAAAATGTAACCTTTGTAACAGCCAACTGGAAACGACGATGCGAAGGTTGACAAAGATCAACTAAACGACCATAAACACGATCCGGAAATACTCGTTTCAAGCTGTCGATCGCTTCATTCCGTCTACGATTTCGTTCGGATTCGGCCGTATCACCATGAGCATCCGACAACTGACGGCTCACATCGTTCAGCTCTATCGCTACCTTCTCGAGTTTCTCTTTTGACTCACGTACCTTAATTTATCACTTCTTCATTGATGGAGTGCATAATACGACTGTTAAGTTATAGCCAACAAGGCAGACCATTTAAACCGCCCGCATCGACACTTTTCAATTTACGAAGTGACTGTTGAATAAGCATCTAAATTGAATCGATTTCATCAATCATTCCAACATGCAATATCCGCTTTGTTCAGAACAACACTTCGCAATGTTGATGGGAAATCATCGGAGAAAGAAATAGATTCAATTCCAGTCACTACCGTACATAAGAAATGTTAAAAGAACTCATACTTGAACAATAACTAACGAAAGAATAAATGTGAATTCAAATTCAAAATGAACCTGGTTTTCAAGATGATGAAGATTCTTTTTCTCGTCATCGAGCAGAGTTGTTTGTGCTTGAATGTTTTCAGAGAGATGCTCTGCTTGTCGTGCGTTCCTTTCGATTTCATTCTCTTTCTACAATTTTTTAATTCACTCAACTTCCAATAACGTCAAATGAATTCTTAGCCGGAATTTTAATAAAACTATCGGAATGCTGCACCCAGCGCATGATTCACTGCTACGACTATGAATCCACGCATGAAACTTTTCACATGCTCAATGAAAACGGATATTTAAAAGTTACATTCTTAACGCGTTCGGCACCCTGTATCAGTCTCCTCTGCTCGAACTGGAGCGCATTTCGGTCGGTTTCTCTTTCTTGCAATAACTTATTCAACTCCATATCCAACATACCACATCGTTTTGTCGCTTCACCTTTCAGTGCATAATATTCAGTCACCTTAAATAAAATCAATAACAGTTTTAACGTTAATAACAACAATCATCATTTGTGACACCGAGAAAAACAGCAAATTATAAAACAGTACCAACATTTTACGCTAGCACATGATTACTAGAGAATCAGTCAGCAACGAAATGTCACCAGCATAGCAATAAAAGTAAAAGCGGTTTGAACGAATACAGTTAACTTCCAAAATTATCAACAGTGGGCAGCTAATTGTAAGTGAAAAATTTCAACTTGTATGTTTTTACCACAATATCTTTTGGGACAACAAAAGCTTCCAGCATAGACCAATTGGAGATAAAAGCAAACCTGAGTATCACTAAGCTGCATATCGAGAGATTGTGACTCGGCGGCAAGTTTCCCTTCACATTCGCTCTTCTTTTTTTCCACTTCAACAATCTTGTCCTTTAAAGCCAGGACGTTCTTCTCATGCGTTTCAGCCGACCTCTGCGCCGCAGTGTGCATTTTGGTGGCTGTTTCGAGTTTTGCTTTGACGTGAACCACTTCTTGCTTGGCAGCAACATAACGGGGTTTTTGCGTTGTGACTTCTTTCTCCTTTTCGAGTGTTTTCTGCTCCATTTTGTGCACTTCTTTGATGAGTTTCTTGTGTTCGCGTTGTTTCATCGCGACAATCTCGTCGCATTCCTCTTTCTTCTTCACCAATTCTTCAACGATTGAATTCTTTCGTTGCAACTCTCCACTTGAATTCGCTACACTCTTCTCGGCGTGATATAATTGCAGCAGATACATCTGCCTTTGTTTCGCTGCCAAATCGTCCTTCATCAACTGATATTTCTCAGCTTCGTCTTTCTCCATTTTTGCTTCTCGTTTCTCTTGAGCAATACCTCGTCTTTTGTTCAAATTGAACGCCGCATCTTCTTCAGCTTTATTCATTTCAGCTTTCAGTCGATCGTAATCACTTTGATATTCACACGATCTGAAAGCAATCGCCCAATTTATTCTCATCCTTCAACCGCTCAAATACACTTCATTCTCAAATTCTGAACCGCATAAACAAAATGCCGTATTGCAACAGATCTTCCAGCATCATCGACAGCAAAGTAAATCAAATTGAGCAATTGAAACAACTAAGCAGCGAGTGGATAAGTTCACTGCAGTATCTTGGTCATGCACATAAAGTTCCGTTCACGACGAAAACATTGCACTAAAATCCAAACCCTCAAAAGCAAATATGGAACCTAACTGGTACAGCAAATTTGTTTGCAAATATATTTTTGAGAAAGTTAGAAAATGAAGAGATTTTACCGAGATATTTCCTCGAAAAGTTGAGTTCGCTCTTTTGGATTACGCATCGCAATTTGTTCCACTTGCCCTTGATAAACGAGGAAATTTTTTGCTTTGATGAAAATGTTAATCTCCTCTAATTCGTGATTGTACTGTTGCGGTGTGACCACCTAAATGAATCAGCTTTTGATTATGCACAAAATTCTAAATATTTCAACCAGTAAAGATGATCATACTTAAACACAGTTGATCATATGTCATCAATATCCAAACATTACTCAAATGATTTCAATATTCTTATCACAACATTAAAGAAATCAGCTCTGTAATGAACAGACCCAACTGTCGGATTAAATACATCTTGCTAAGGATCTATCACTCGCCGATCATTTCAGAACTAATTACGTTGATTCGAGTCAATATTCAAAAATAATGCCAACTGAGATAAAAGATCTGAAATGACCTTTGAATCAATCCGATACTCAGAACCAGCTCCACTGACTGAACGTGTAAATGTTCGCATATGTCCATCATCGTCCTCGAAGTTCATCGTTACGTGGCATCTATTCGCGACCGGCTTACCAACTGGTGCACCATGTATTAAATCCTAAACTAAGCAACACTGCATCTGAATTGTTTCCAAACAAATCAATGGCAATTTACTACAAACAAAAGAAAATTATATACATCACCATAATTCGACAAGGAATTCAAATTATAAACATCAAAAATTGAAGTTCAGAACAATTAAACTTTTCAATCCTACGTTTTTTTCTTCATTTTCACATATTTTCAATTTTTTCAGCTTTCGACTTCTTCGCATATTTTTAATAATATCTCATAGGCTGAAGAAAAAAAATGAAAACACAGAAAGTGAAAGGATGTATGGAAATGAAATCACATTCAGTCTCTTGACACGCAGATTGCTCGCCTTTTCTCCTAACACAAAACAAATTGCGTCCATCATATTGGATTTTCCTGCAATAACCACTTCGCATCACAATTACCATCAGTATCGCATGAATTTTATGTGATAACACATTTTTTGAGTTGTGTCAATTCATTACAAAATAACAAAAGTACCAAATATGAATACTTATAGCTCTTAAAATTGTTAGTAAAACGGCAACAATTTCAACAAAGAGGTAGTACTGAATCCGGGCACATCATTCTAAATAACGCATGACGACGATAATACCGTACAATTGGAAAGACCGAACTACAAAAATATTTGAGAGGCTATGGATATTAAAAACTTAAAGATGAAAACACCAATAACCTGAGCCATTTGGACCAATTATGGCAGTGAATTGTTTGAAAGGTCCAATGATTTGTTTCCCTTTATATGATTTGAAGTTTTCCAATTCTAACGTGTGCAGACGACCCATGATTACCACCTGCGCAACACTGAAAATGTTTACAGATGGTTTTAAAACTTCGCTAAACTATCGCATCTTTACTACACTCGAGATAACGAAATTGAGACAAATGCAAAGGTAATCTAAACCAAGCGGTGAAGCTAACTGATCGTATTCGTTTCCCTTTTTATTTGGTATCACGACGATAGACCTCGAAAGGTACAGAACTGATACAATTTTCATTTTCAGTATGCCAACTGTGATTAAAGTTGATCATTAATGTTATATCAGAACTGAAACACTATCGCTTAGGAGACTGATGACCTATGATGAAACCACATAACACAAAATGCTTTCTTCCTCATGACTTCATAATACCACTTTGTTACTATTGGTACGCACGGGTCAAAAGAACAGAGAGTACAATCGGATAATCAGTTAACAAGCTCTGTTATCTTTTGATTAAAAAAGTTCTTGACTTCTAACCGTATATAATTCATATCAGTGAACTTGTTCGCGTTTCCTTTAGTCACAAATCAAGAGCAAAAATAAATACAAATAAATTTGCAAATGCATACCTATTAGAAAACGAATAAACGAAAGAACNCAACAAAAGTGACAAATAAGTACGTTATTAGCTGGTGTTCAAAGTTTTTTGTGACTTTGTTGAGCTTTCGAATAAACATGCCTATCATATTATATGTCTGGAAATAATAACGCGAATAAAGGAAAAAACAATAATTCAACGATGTCCGCCAGGGTGACCAACAAATACATCCGCGGCAAATCTAACTTCGACAATAGGCACCATGCACCTCAATGATAAGGTACGCGTTATCACGGACTTTTGCGGACAAAATTGTCGTAGACCCGTCTCTAAAGACTAGCGTTAACGTATTGCTGCCAGTGTGATCGTTTCTTTATAATTATTATTGTTCGGATTATTTCGGATTATAGTCCCGCCATTAGCAATGGCCATATAAGAGCAATCTACCAAACAAACTCGGTGTGAGGCGACAATGCCACCGAATGGTTTCGCGCGCCATTGAATGAAGCATTCGTCATCTAATAGTAAGACCTCCATTAGAACTGCAGTAGAAAGGTGATACCTACCTTCAGTGTTCATAATTTCTGGACGGCTTTCTTCTCTAACATCCACTTGAAATAATCCCAACAATAATAATTATAAGGAAACGATCACACTGGCGACAATAGATCAACAATGCTTTTAGAAGCGATTTCCTACAATAATGCGATCAGCTGAAGTGACATTAGTAGCAATATTCATTCCATGGATCGACGAGAGAGTTTTGGAAGAGTGCTTCTTCCAATGGAAATCGAATGTTACTAATAAAACATAAGAATATATCGCACTAATCTGAATATCGGAATTCCGACTGAAATTTGTTGGATTTTACCGACCGAACGTCCGTCTGATGCCATCACTACTTATTTGACTATGAATAGTTTAAGACATATCGTGATCTCGTCATATACGGGTTTTCATGTACATGTAATTGTTTGATTCAGTTTGTCAAGTGACACTACGAGATTTCATCAAATTCGAGAAATCAACATGGGGAAATCTAGAAATTATACATGGGAAATTGCTTCTTCCAGCCTCTTTGGCCTATTTCTGTGGAACGCTGAAGAACAGCGATAGATTTATTCTGTTTAAGGTATTGTTTTCAATAAAACAATGCACTGAGAACATGTTTACGGCGTGACCTTGCAGCCATGTAAGATGGCGCTGTCATCGATAAGCGACCCGTAATGTCGAATGTGGGAACACACATATGATGCTTTGTGATACTCATATAGCATGCAATCTGACACATGAGAAAATTGTTTGGAGTCATCGAAGGAGCATGTTCAGCTAAAGCCTTGGTAACAGGGTTTTACAAGTACCTTGATGCTTTCCACAAACTCAGAATCAATCTGAGACATGCGGTCGTTCGGATCTCTGATGGTCACACAGAACGGGACACGGCCTTTCTGCAAAGCATATAATCTTACAATTAGAAATGTCGTTAGACTGACGTTCGATGATGCCATGCCTCTCTCTAGGATATATGTTTCAATGCAGGCGTCGTGTATGCTGAACTTGGCAAAAATTTCTTCTTACCGTCGGATAGAATGGATTCTTATGTGTAATGAAAGTGCGTATTTTAACGGTGCACATTTGTGTAGTACCTCCAAGCCTTCTTAACTACGGTAATTGGCCACGCCCACAAATTACGGTAGTTAGCCACGGCCGCACTAAGGAAGACGTCACGAATCGAGTAAAGACACAAACAGTTGAAAAATCAGAAACGGTCACACACATTCATCAGTTTAAGTGACGAGGAACTATCAATGCTAATTTATTATTTAATTTAATCTAATGTTGTAAATGTTTTATCACAACTTGCAAGCATTGTCGTGCTTACAAACTAAAGAAAGACCATCTGGACTACGCCCATGCATTCATAAATTTCTCGTCATTTTGGCCCCATCCACTTTTAATAGCCAGCACCAATGATAATACTAATGGTGGGAATTTCTATGAGAGGCTGAATGGCAATCAGCGAATGAAATCGTTACATCAAACTGTCCACTACTAGTATCACCATGTAATAATAAATAATCAACGTAATTCTGATCTTCCTCAGACTTAATCAATTCATATCTATGAAAACAGTCTCCTTCTAAACACCATTGAAACCAACCGATTTATTACAGTATCTGCAAGAGTAATCGCTCATTTCCTTGCAACTTTCAAATCAGCAAACCAGATACTGTGCAAGATTTTGATACGAATCTCGCCCACGGCATCCGAGGAGTAACCGAGGAGGTTTTTTCGATGACACACTCTACATAAAGGAAAAAATTGAGCAGAAGTCAT